AGAATGGACTCCTAATGGCACGGGCCGAGGATCTCGAAGGTGTTCCGTAAAACCCACGGTAGCCCATCTATATAAGGGCATCAACCCCTGAGACCCAGGTACGTGCGATTATTTGCTCGCTAGCTCTCATACTTACAAGCTTTTAGCTCGCCTATAGCCAGTTACTGACTTAAGCATTGGAGTGACCACGCAAGGTTAGCCACCTCAGGTTCTCTGATCCTTCCTGTCTTGTAGTTCAACTCGTCAGTTAGGCAACTGACGTCTGGGCTGCCATCCAGCTAGGAGCGATCAGATCGCGCACCATCAATATGAATTGAAAAGCCGGAGTTCCAAGGATCATATCATCATAGTTGGCTGTGATTATTTCTTGACATTTTGGATTATTAGTCCAAAATTGAAAAAAAGTGAAATTGAGATTTGCAGTGGACTGATGTATGGTGGTTTTCAGTTTGATTGGCCCATGATGGATTAGAGAGTCTAGAAAAATTACAAGCCAACTTTGGGTTGCTAGGGATTGATCAAGTATTTCTAGGACTTTTGAAGTTCCTTTTTGTCCATTTGCCCAAGTAAAAGGAGGATCGCCAAAATCTAAATCTATAAGATGAAAGTATTGTATAAAGTTCCTCATGGATTTGGATAGCTTTGAATTACTATTTCTATAATTCTTTTGGTCATGTTATAAGCAAGGTTTAAAATGTAGACGTCGGTAGATATGTCGGTCATCTAAATATAAGAAACATGTGGAAATGTCAAAAAATATCGTATGGAAATATTGTAAAAATTATAGACATGATGGAAAAATTGTAAAATATGCAAAACATATAATGATATTTCATGAAATGATAAAAGAAGCATAGACACACCTTTTTAAATTATTATCTTGTTCCAAATCATTAAACAAAGCTATGAAACTAAGGTTATAGACAAAAGAATATGTTTTAAAGTTTCCCTATAAACCCTAAGATTCATAGCTTCATGATAGAATGAGTTAAAGCAAAATTTCAACTTCAATTGGTACTTCACATATCTATAACATTGTCACCAACTTATATTAATAATACCATCTCTTAGACTACACATAGTATTGGTAGTATTTACTGCGGAATATGTCAATTCCAATAGAATTTCATGTCACTACACATGGAAGTGGAAATAGAAATATGTCATGGAAACTATCTGTTGTACTCCATATAGTGTCGGTAGTATTTATTGGGGAATTGTTGATTCTGATAAAATTTTGTATCGCTACACAAGAAAACGGAAATATGACATGAAAATATTATGAAAATTAGAGGCATTTTAAACTATGATCATAAATAGATGTCATTCATTACACCAAGCAAAATCCAAGGAAGGGAAAGTATTGGCCTGTGAGTCCAAAAGATATCTCCATATTTCTTTCCTCTGATGTATTTGAGGACCATAGAAAAGGAGTAATTGTCAAGGACGGTCTGGAGGGGAATTGTTGATCTCAAGATGGATTAGGTTAGCATTGGTTTGGAGAACCGAGATTAGAAGGTTGTTGTACCAGCAGAAAAGGAGGCCTCCTGATTGATGACCTTCAGCTTCAAAATACACATACTGATCGAATTTTAGATTCCTTACAAGAGCCAGACTATTGCTAGAGGTCAATTTAGTTTCAGAGAGGAAAAGAATGTCAGGTTTTTCTGTTTTTGCATTATAGGAGAGCTGTCTGAACAGTTTTGGGGTTGTTACACCCTCTGGTATTCCATGCTAGCAATTTCATTTATAATAATATAGAATAAAATCATGGTTTTCAAAACCGGATTGGATCAAACAGTCAGACTTGAAAAACCAGGAACTGGTTAGGTGGTCGGTTTTGTTTTATCCCAAAACTGTTATTTCGCCAAAAACTGTTGATTTGGTCAGCAAATCGCTGATCCAGGCGGTCAAACCATCCAACGGTTTTAGTGGTTCTTTTTTTTTTATTTTTTATTTTTTATCAGAATGAGCCATTTGTTCAATTCAAATGGTCGAACCGTTCAACCCGGGAACCGGACTATGACCGGTTTGTTGTCCTATTCAATTTTAAAAACCTTGAATAAAATAGTAAATAGCAAAGCACCAAAGAATACTGAGTCAAGAAAAACCGATAATATGGCATATATGTGAAAATACCACCTGTTATAAGAAGCTTTGCATGCCTAATTTGTGGAGCAAACCAGCCATGTGTTATGTGGGATGATGCATGTAGCAAATGCTGCAGGTAGATACTATTCATCTTCTGGCTGGATGAGTTGTGTGAGATGTTTTAACTCTTGGTTAACTCACTGCTTGCCCCGATTTCAGCCAATGTAGAACTCAGATTTGATGTTCTTACACCACTTTCTGGAAGTCAGCAACCCTGTGTCGAATTAGAATGAACCATTAGCTTTCATCAAACAGTTGATGTGCAACAAGCAAACATTTAACTGGCTCTGCTCAAAGACAAATTACAAGCTCTATTCTTGAATCAAAGAACTACAAATTGGTTGCTAAATCAAAGATATTACAGGCTAGACGCCGTTGATTGACAAAAAAAAAGTATTCTACAGGCATAACACCATTAACTGACAGAGAAAAAAATGCTACAGGCTTGTTGCCAAAATGAAATTGTTGTATACAAGTTAGGCTCTTAATGATCAGGTTAGGATTGCATTAGCTTTCGACTACTTGTTTGGGTAATGGGTTTGGTCTATTTCGGGTAATGTTCACCTCAGGTGTTTGAGATGACGGGTAATATTGGAAACAAAAATTATGGTGTTTCGTTTACCATACTCGTTTTTATCAATGGTCAGTAGATATCATGGTTTCAAACGGGTGGCCTATTCTGATAAAAAATTTTAAAAATAATTAAAAATAAAAAACGGCCAAAAACCGTTGAATGAGTCGACGGTTTAACCATCCGAGTCAATAGATCGTTAACTGATTCAACAGTTTTTGACCAGGGACTGGTTTTGGGGTAAAACGGAACCGATTGCCTGAATGATTCCTAGGCCAAACAGTCCAACTATCCGGATCAACAGTGATTCAAAAATCATTGTAGATATTATATTTTATTGTTAGAAAAATGTATTTAGGGCTTCAAGTGCAAGTTGAGCAGACTGAGCTGGGTTTTAGCTCAACCGAGGTCCAAATGTCCAATCATAAGATTTGGGCCTAATGCCCTAGCCTGAGGTCAAGCTTTAACTATCTAATCAGAGCCCAGTCCATGGTGCACCTGGGTTGGGTTTGGGCTCAGGTTAATCGATCAGTCCACCCTAAAAATTGATATATATGTATACGTATATATATGTATATATGTATATATAATTTATTAAAAAATTATGCATATATATATACGTACAAATATACATCTCTATAAACGTATATACATGTATATAATTGGGTCGAACTGGGCTCGAATTGGGATAAGATTGAGTTGGGCTTGTTTCGGAGCTAGGCCTAAGCCCAGTACAGATTAAAAATTGGAACGTTTCGGCCCAGGCCCACCCCTCAATCGAAGCTTAATCCAAGTTTTCAGGCCCAAGGCCCAGAAATAAAAATCCAAACATCGCAGAAGCTAAGTTGGAGTGACAAATTGACCCAATAATAAACCTAAAAATTATTTGGATCATTCCTATCCAGGTATACAATAAGATATTACAAGTCATATTTCCTGTAACAGTGGTCGCAGGAGATGCGAATATGCAAGTATTTGAATGGTGTTTGGTTTAAAAAATTGGCTGTTAACATTTGATTTATTCGTGGTCGCATGCAACTACTACGTTCGCAGGAAACTTCTTCGTCACAAGGAAATTAAACAAGCAAGCAATTGCAATTTGAGTTCTTTTGAAATCCTGGGCTCTTCTGAGTTCTGAGTGGCACCTTGTTCCCTCTCAAATTGCTCATTACAATGCTCAGTGTACATCTCAAGACAATAAAATGCACGAGGTAATGTTTGCAACAGCAGAGGTTCTAGATACCCTCCTCTATCCCCATCCAGTTTTCTTTATTCACCAAGGTTCAAAGTATCAACATGTATCAGCTCGTATCGGCCAATACGTATCGTTCCAGGCCCCCTCCTATATGCCTCTACAGTAGGTGTATCAGGGATCTGGCCGGTTCAGGGGGTGGAGGAGCCCTGAACCAGCCCCCCTGAACCGGTTACGAAAAAAACAATAAAAAGCAGTATCGATTCACCCGATACGCCCCTACCGGCGTATCGGATGTATCAATATTTTGAACCTTGCTACTGACCCACTAACCTGACTATTCAGATGCCAAAAAATATAAGGGGGTGTTTATCTTTTTGGATTTTGAGAGGGGAAAATGTTGATCAATGGGATTTTGGTTCCCATTGACCAAGATAACCATTGTTCCTTTTTCAGATTTATGTAGGGTTCATGGAAAATTTATTTTCCCTGTGTAAGTGGAACACATCTCGTAAGCGGATAAGTAACTTTCCCGCCTGGAAGGAAAGTTATCAATACTTGAATGAGATAAAACTGTCCCTTTTAATAATAAATTTTTATGGTAACAGTCATTATTATCTTATTTACCTAGAAATTAAAAGAAAGTGAATAAATGCACTTACCTTCCCCAAAAAAACAAACAGGGATCCCAATTTGTTATACTCAATCAACTAAACATTGGAAGTGACAACAAAACAATTTCTATTTGTGATACACTCTTATCCAATTTTAAATGTTTTTGTTACCACCTTTGTATGGCATGGGAATCTACACAATCAGGAAATAGGTGGCCATGAACAAGCATCAGCTCTATGACTGCTGCCTTGCCCGATGTGCCCTGCTGTGCCAAAACAGAGCTCAACTTCTGTATTACCTAGGAATATGTAGTTGAAGAAGAGAAAATGAAAGTGATTCATGGAGAGAATTTGATTAGATAAAGTGGTTTCTTATTGGACTGATACAACTTATGTGGGATTGCATCATTTACATCCAAGAAGACCTAAATCTTGGAAATGTAAAAAGCCTATAATGTTTTAAGGATGAAGCCAGAAATTCACTATGAAATTAAACACACAACACTTGAGAAAATGCAGAATCAAGGGAATTTGTAGTTCAGCTAAGTCTTAGTAATCTGGCGCCCTGGTGCCCAAGAGTAAATCTCTGGACTTAGACCACCATTAGTGAGCAAATTGGGAGGCATTCCGTACAAGTTGGACAGGTCCATATGATGGTGATGGAGATGGTTCTGTGGGTGATGCTGATTATGCACAGTGGCTACTTCATCTTCATCCAGTGGGAGACGATCAAATGTTGCATTCATGAATGACGCTGCCATTATTACCACCGGTCCTGAGGCTATGAGAGCACCCACAACACTACCACCTACGACCTGGCCCTGACCACCAGCCAGATAGATTGTCAGGCCTGTGACGCCTGGAGGGGCTGGTGGAGGCAAGATGGAACCAAGCAAGGAGAGGATTTCAAAACGTCCATGGAGTGTCAGAATGGAACCAGAAGAGGCAGGCTGCCTCAGTGTAACGTTCATGACACACCCAGTTGCACTGAGGATGTAGATGCCACGTTGCTTCCTCCTGGCAAAGTTGGCTATGCTCTCGCCAACATCACAACCAGAGCTGACTTCCATGGCATGAGCACGAAGGGAGTTGGCACTGTCTCGAGTGATGATGATGGGAGGTTTGGGCTTGTTCTTGGAGCCAGCTGGCCGACCACGAGGCCGCTTGATGGACTTACCCTCTGCTGCTGCAACGGCCACTGCTGGCATTGGCTTTGTCACCTTGGGACCAAGTCCAACTAGCAATCCTCGTCCGTCAAGGCACGGCCTGCAGTTATTGCCTTTATCTGCTTCTGGGGTTAAATCAGTTATTCCCTTGGATCCAACAGAAACCGCTGCTGCTAGATCTGCGCCGGCCATTCATGCATTCCTTGTGCACCACCACACCACAAAGATGTCTGCTAAAATAAATGTGTTCGGGATGAGAGTTCAAGTAGGCCATTTGTACCCATCGTTGTACTAGGAAGGAACCCAAAAGAAATTGAAGTCATGGGGATTAGGAGATGGTTAAGTAAAACCAAACTTTCCATTACCAGCAGTATTGTATTCTTCTCCCTGCCTACCTTTCAACAGATTTGGTATTCATGTACTTCGCCTTTCCCAACAGATACCCAATTGCCCATTAAAAATAATCATCTCTAGGAACCTGAGTAATCAGTAATCACCAACCAAGATAATTACCGAGCAACATAAAAAATGAGACACGTGACAGCATTCACTGCACTTGCTAGTGATAAAAAAGGCAATACATGACTGATGAATGATGGTCTCAATTGAACACAAGACTGCATCAAGTAGGTTCAATAACGTACAATTCATGTTCCTCACAAATTCTGGCGGAAAAATAACCTACGAGCATTCATTGTTTATTGCAAATTTGTTACTTAAGATGCTGAGAACACAAAGTTTCACTATTGGACATAACAACGGTTCAAAAGCTTTGAAAAATACAAAGGTGGCAAAAATAAATAAATAAAGCCTCTGAAAGAAGAATTTCGAATGGTTAGTACACAATCTGGGGGACAAAAACTCTGGTTAGGTAATATCCATTACTGAACTATTACAGAGGACCTGTATTATCCAAACAGAGCCTTTCCCTCGCTATCAAAACAAAGAAAAAAAAAAAAAAACTAAGCTCAGATTAGCAGCATGCTCCTACCTCAAGAAAAACACCTCGATAACAGACATACAATACAACTTCAAAGGCACAGGGCAGTAGCCATTCAAGTGCTTTTTCAAGTATGTACAGTTTGATCAGAACCAAACACTCAAAGACACATTTCATCTAACCGTAACTACATCTTGACTGGCTACATTCAACTTACTACAAGACCCTGAAAAACCATTGAGAGATGATCAGTAGTTATGTTGCCAGATCTGGTGTGATTGCTTAGTTGGTACACCCTGAGAACCAGCAAGTGTTCCATCATTTGGGTTTTGCTGTGGATGTTCCTGTGAGACCCTCGGTTGAGACTGATAGAAATTTGGATATCCTAAAGCTCCATAGTGCTGTGAAGGTTGCTGAGCCTGTCGAAATCCACCATGCTGCTGGCTCTGTCCCTGAAAACTGTAATATGTGCTAGCTGGAAGAGCTGACATAGTTCTTGAACCAGGCCCATGCACCCACATTGCAGAGTTGTCATTCTGTCAACATAGAAACCCAAACTATAATATGGCATATCATATGACACCAATAACAACCTCCACAAGATAGAGATTAAAACGAGTTAATACCTGTTGAAGAGGGATAAAATGGTTGCCATCCTTGTACTGAGAGCTTATAACGTCATCATAACCAATTGTTGTGCTTGCAGGTGTGCTAGAAGGATTCAGTGGGAAACTTCCAGGAATGTTGGTTGAATTCCCAAAGCCTCCATAACCAGAAGCAACAGCAGTAGAATGAGGTAAACTGCTTGCAGAAACACTATTCTTATATTGTGGGAGGGTGTACTTTACACCAGTATTGTGTACTGCAGCCGGAGATTGTTGGTACGCATTGTTACCTGCATATGCTTGCTGGTAAGCAGAGGGCATATACGTATAGCTCTGAGGCAGGAAAGGGTAGCCAATTATGTTTGCAAAATGCCCCAAAGGAAGAGCTGGTTGTGAATAAGGGTGCACTGTTAGGTGTTGAGGAAGAGTGGGTACTGTGGCAATGCTAGTACCAGGCAGGGTTTGTGCAGTTGGCTGAGTAGAAAAAATGCCTGGCTTCACTGCCTACACAATTGAAGAAAAATACAGTAAGATTATTGGCTGAACATAATAGCACAAATTTTTCAGTAATATAAATCACAAATATTTTTCAGAGACCAATTAAATTTTATCATTGAAAGTAATATGAAACTCCATGTTGTCATTTCCAAGGTTCAGCAAAAAAGATTAAATGATCCAATGGCTTAATTTTGAGTAACATAAATCACAAATATTTTGAGTTGTGACTTAATTTTGACATTCAAAATATTCTTAGAAACAGGAAACCAACTGCTTGAACCAAGTCAACTGGATCTTGAATAATCAAAAGACATTACTGTTGAGGGTGGCATACCTCTGGCATAGACAGGGTTGGACCACTAAAAGAAGATACTGCATTGCTGGGTTTTGTGGGCATTGATTGTGTTGAAGGGAAGGGTGAGTAGGAATTATCAGACTCTCTTGCTGGTTGAACATTTGATGCCAACAAATTACTTGGTAAAGAACTTGTATATGCTTGCTGCAATAACATGCAAACGCAGAAAGTCGCCATCAAAAGTACAATTATTTTAACTTCTATGGTAGAATAAAGAATAATAAGTACCTCTTCTAGTGAAAAGAAAAGTTCAAACATTTTGGTAATTTTAAATGCAAACTACTTGGTAAAGTCATCGCCAAGCTGATCCCAACTCACCCCCCCCAAAATATATATATATATATATATATATATATATATCCAAGCAACAAAATGGACATCTTAATTGCTAATGCATTGATCAGGTAGTGATTGATCACCTCAAGCTAACCAGAATAAAATCTGTCACTTCACCTGTATATATATAAAATTTGTGGTGCTCTCCCTTACAAATAAAGTTTAGTTTAAGTTGGTGAATATTAGATGCCCAATTTCTTCCTTTTTTTCTCTTTGAAAAGCAAGATAAATATACTGATAGTAATGGATAAGTATTAGAAATTTACAGCTTGCCCTGTTTACAATACTTTTTTGTTCACTCTTTTTTGAGCTTATAATTATAAAATAGACATTATTAAACTAAAATAATCATTTTGTGTGTTTATATACTAATTTCTTTTTATTGTTTTCTTATTTTCTAGGGTTTAATCAACACAAACATTGCTAAATGCTGTATTAAACCCTCAAAGACTTCAGAACCTGAACCAATAAGGAAGAACTTAAAATTTTATCTAGTCAACACATTTTATTCTTCCATATAGTCTTCTTCTTCTTCTTCCATTACTTTTTCTTTTCTTCTTTTCCTATAACAAAAATAAGGGTTCATCCCCTATATTTTTTGAATTTTATTTTTCTTCTCATGAATATGTTGATTTTCTATACTTTAATATGAGCTTTATACTTTTCTTATGAAAATTATGAATAATTATTAAGTATGGTTATGGTACCTAGGGAACTACCCTAGGATCTACATTTTCAACATAAAAAAAAATCCATCGCTTAGGCGGCTAGGCGACAGGGGGGCGCCTTGTCGCCTAGCCTCGCCTTGGCGCCTTGAAAACTATCCTAGGCGATGGAATGTTTTAAGTAGAAACATGTATCCTAGGGTAGTTTGCTAGGTTCCATAATCATAATTCCTTGATAAATATCCATTATTTTCATAAGAAAAGTATAAACTTCATGTTAAAGTAAAGAAAATCAACATATTCCAACATATTCATGAGAAGAAAAAGAAGAAAGAAAAGAAAATTCAAAAAATATAGGGGCTGAACCCCTATTTCTGTTATAGGAAAAGAAGAAAAGAAAAGGTGGAAGAAGAAGAAGAAGAAGAAGAAGAAGACATTAGTATATAAAGACACAAAATTAGTAAAGAAAAAGAAGAAAATGTGTTGATTGGACACCATTTTATGTTATTCCTTACTTATTGGTTCAGGTTTTGAAGTCTTTGAGGGTTCAATACAGCATTTAGCTTGTGTTGATTAAACCCTAACAAATAAGAAATTAGTATATAAACACACGAAATGAATATTTTAGTTTAAAAATGTCTATTTTATAATTATAACCTAAAAAATTAATAATATAAAAGTTTCTTATAACATGCTATAGAATACTGCTTGGCGATTAGGCGAGCCGAGCCTCCAAGGGTGCCTTGTCACCTAGTCGATTAAACCCTAGTGCTTGGCGATTAAACTCTAGTTCTTGTTCTCTTGTTAAGTAGTGTTCTTTTTATTGGTTATGTGTTAATGAGCCTTTTTTTATGGGCCTGTTAGCTTCCTTTTATTTTCTTTTAAGTTATTGATGAGCTGGGTGCCCACTTAAGGGCAGACTTGTAATTAACGTTGATTAAGTCTGATTAATAAAAGATTAGTGAGAGGAGAGAGAGTATAAATATCGAACTCTCTTCTTCTTCCTCTTCTTCTCAACCTTCTTCTTCCTCCTGTTGTTTTCTCCTTTTTTTCTTTTCTTTTTGTTGCTGTACTCAGAAACTAATCTCAGATTTAGAGGTCTGAATCACATCTCCAGAAATATAGGCCATATAATGGCATGAGGAACTGCAGCCCAAATCACCTTCCCCTTCTTATTCAATCCCTTCACATTCCATGCAGGAGATATTCTAACATGCCCAGAAGGTACTATCAGCCTTTCAAAGAATGAGACCAAATCTTAGAGTCTTAGTACTGCAGTTCATAACAATTTTTGGAACAGTTTATCATGGAAAACATATACGGGTGGTAATTTGGAACATCCAAACTTTGCCAAGAACAGGGATACCTAAGCTTTCCCACACATCTATATCTTTCATAATAATTAAAATTTCTCTGACAGTCAAAAAAAAGTTAATTTTGGCTTCTCTAGCTTATTGCTTCAAATATTCAGTCCTGGTATTTTACTCCTAGACATTATACTGCTTTTCTAACCAACATGATGTGTAAGTAAACAAATCGTTATCAAGAAAGACACATTTTCCAAAGTCCTGTTGCAAATGCTAGCTCAGAAAATATTTCAAATGTTTGTTGAAGTAATGCAATTTTTTTATCAACAATTAAAGAAATGCGATATAATTACCAGAACACTTGAAAAAGGAGCAAGATTCTGCATCTGAGAGTTTGTTTGTGCATAAGCAAACCCAGCATTAGGCTGTGTCGTGTTTTCAAATGTGTAACCAGGTACAGAAGATGGAAAATCGTAGTGGTGTCTATGTGTAGATTCAGAAGTATCCTGTTTCATAACCTCTGGTTGTGAAGAAGATTCTGGATCGAATACCTCAGTTCCAGTGCTGGCTCTTGGAACTATATTCTCATTCGAGGATCTAATATCCTCATCTCCGTAGTATTCAGAATTTCTGACAGGAACATGTTTATAAAACATTAAATAATCCACGTGTAAGAAAAAATGGAAAAGTGGATAATTGACTTGTGGATGTAAAGAACAGAAAGAATACCTAGCATCCGAGTGGCCAACTGATGAAGCATCTACTGATACAGAGGCCTCCTCCAAGTTACCTTTTAAGGGTCTAGATGCAAATGATGCAGACAACGTTGCACTTATACCAGATCCAAAGCTACCAAAACTCAAGTGCGAACAGTCTGCAGTTGGGACTTGCAGGTGATTTGGAATTACTACAGCAGGGTTATCCTGGGAAGAGGGTACCCCTAGCTCCTCCTGCAAATGCAGTTGCTGCAAGCTTGCTGCAGCTGATGATACTGCTACACTGACATCTTCAACTGAAAATATGGAGTAATTAGGTAACATTCAAGAGGATGGTGTCACAAACTTCAGCAAAGAAACAGACTAGCATTGAGAAAACTAAATGGTAGGGAAAAGAATTTCCATTAATAACATAGATTTATCATAATCCACAGTTCCATACAACCAGAAGCAATAACAGTTTTACAAGTTACAACCTAAAGAAAATTTCTTCAAGTAACCAAATAGCCAAGTCTGAGCAGTGGTATACAGAAATTCATAATAAATGTTATATCACACTGGCTTATATATATATAAATAAAGAGAGAGAGAGAGAGAGAAAATATATATTTGTGTTGGACATGCAAAAATTCAATAAGTATAGCAGCTTTCAAGATTATAAGATATGTTCATCTGATGGTCCCAACCCAACCAGTGTTTTAAAAGGTGTAGGAGGCGTACACCTGGAGGTGTGCCTCCAGGCAAGTGCCCCCAAGGCGTAGGAAAGAGGCGTTGACACCTCTGAGGCATACACCTCATGTACAGGCATATGCCTCGTGCACCTCATGCACACCTCATATAAAAAGACAAAAAAGAAAGAAAAAAAGGAAAAAAATAAAGGAAAAAAAAGGAAAGGAAAAGAAAGGGAAGGGAAAGAAAAAGAAAGAAAGAGAAGAACAAAAAAAAAAAAGAGAAAAGGAAAGAAAAGAAAAGGGAAGGGAAGAATAGATAAGGGAAAAGAAAGTGGGTCAGGGCTCTGCCCTTTTCAACTAGTGCTATGCATCTTCATTCTTTTGAACAGATGGTGGCAATAGGATAGGGCAGAAAGAGTTGTAGTTAAACATATTCTATGACACCAAAATACTGTTTTTTATGGCAAATAAAATTCATTGAAGCAAAAGGAGAATATAAAAAGGTAACAAGGAACCACCTACCTAGAATAGAAAAGAGAAAAAACCACTCAAAGCTCCACAAAATAAATTTATAAACCCCTATACAGCTAGGCCCAACATACAAGAGCACAGAGAGGGAAAAGGGATGAAGCAAAAAGAAGCCCCACTCATATGCACAAAGAGCCCTCTCCAGTTTATAGAGTATAGCATGTCTCTTACACCGTGAAAACAAAAGAGTGAACAGCCACAAAACTCAACCCTATCCAATCTCCATCTCCAAAGACTTGAGATATACCCCTGGTCCCTACATCACCCAATTCCTTCCCCTTACACCCCTTCCTGTCCTAACACCTTCACCTCCTCCAAACTAAACTGATCCAAGGAACAACCCTTTTAATTAAAGAATCGACACTTTTCTTTCTACCGTTTTCCCACTGACCCCTAAACCAACCCATTCAGGTTTTCCAACTTGCTTTCCAGGCTCAACCCCTCTCCTGGCCTCACTAATTGCACCTACATGGCTACACTAACGTCATCCTTCCCTTTCTTTTCCTCTTCCAACTTAACAAACATGCTCTCTGAGAGAGCCTCACCTCCTAGAAAAAAAAAAAAAAAATCCCGAGAGATTTCACCACTCAAGCCTCTTGCTCAACCACAACTTCCAAGGGAAAAGATATATCTACCGCATGATGGACTTTGTCAAGCTGGGCTCCACATCAGAATCATCAGGCACCTATAACTCAATAGCTCCCTCTAAAACATTTCCTGTCTCACCAACCTGACTTTCCTCTGTTAATGATCTGCTTCTATTAAAGATAGTCCTGTTCCCTTGCAAAGGAAGAAGAAAAAGTGACTTATGCTACCAGCCATGTCGCATGGACATAAACACGAGAGTCAATCTGACATTTATCCAAGAGTCTGATTCCACAAGACTCGAGAGCATGGGTTCTTAGATACATATATGAAAAAGTATATACTATTAAGATGGTTCCTTTTTTTTCAATTCTGACATTATATATCTGCAAAAAAGGGGTTTGGAATGTTGCCTTTGTAACTAAGTAACATTTTTTATCATTGCTAGCAAGTAACATTTGATACAAAACATGATATTGCACTTGTACATTAGCTGTTCATTTATGTCAAACAAGCAAGGAGATAATAAGGGAGTGTTATTTAGAAGTGCCTTCAAGAATATGTGGCGTGTCAGACTCCAATGAGTGCCCAACATGGACATGTTGTTCATGCAACACTGCTACCAGCTATCTGAACCAGGCACTAAATAAACTCAGGATGACAATCAGCTTCCCTGAACTATTTGCATTGTTCTTCACTAGCAGCTCAACATGCACTTATGACTCACTTGCCAGAAGGGTGAAAAAAGCCTTCCTGTTGCACTTCTATCATCTGCAATAGACATTTAAAGCTGTTTTCTTAGTGATTGTAGAGAGACTAGGCCGAATGGGGTAGGGCCCATTCGTGTCTTTCTAACCAGTTCTTTCCTGTTATGTTTTCTTATTGGGCCTTTTCTTTATGGGCCTTTAGCTCTTGTTTATGTTTTCTAAGTATAGTGCTGATGTAGATGCCTACTTAAGGGCAATCTTGTAAATTATGTAACTTAAGCAAGTTTATTAAAAAGGATAAGTGGGAGAAAGAGGAGATTATCGAACTCATCCTTTCTTTCTCCTTTCTTCTCCAATCTTCCTTCTTCTTCTTGCTGTCTTCTTCTTCTTCCCTAATTTCTTTTGCTTTATTCTAAAATATTCTACTAATTTTATTGGTTTGAATCACATATTGGTATCAGAGCAGGTTTCCCTTCCATTTTTTCCCTTTTTTTCTTTTTTCCCATACACTCTTTTTTCTAATCGAAAGGTGTATGGAGAGATAAATTGCTGATTATTCAGAGATCTTGTTAGCCTAGTTGGTAGAGGGTTTGGATAGTCAGAATCTGGCTGAAGATTGCAAAGAAAGTGGGAATGCAGATATTTTTCCCAAAACCCTAGCCGACTAGAGAATTTCCAGTTATGGATTGAAGACTGTTTGGGTGTGGCACTCAAGGCTTGGAGGGTTCCATTTTATCTCCAAAAGTGGGCGGCTGTAGTTCGAAGTGGTTTGGATAGCTCTGGTTTGTGCGGCTACCTCTTCTCTCTTTCGCCCCAGAGGCCAAGTACGGTGAAACCCTAGTTTTTGGGACTTTTGAGTGCTTGACTAACCTTAGTTAGGTCTATAAAGGTTAAAAACATTGTTTTTTTATTTTCGTTTGATTGATGGAGCAATCTGGAAGTGAGGTGAAGCAGAGCTTGTTCCTTTCTTTGGTACTTCTCTTGAAGGGGAGCATTTAGACGAGCTGTTTGCATTGTCACCATCTTCTATAGAGCCTCCTCCAGTCGAGTCATCTACCCCTGCTCCCCCTCCTACTCATCCCCCTACTTTTCCTTCCCATCCTATTATCCAAAGGTGGTACCAGAGACAGACTCAGAGACATGCAAGTTGTTTCAACGCCTTCAGATGTGCCTCTTGCTCCTCCCATCACTATTGAGGTAACAGGTCAGCCCTCTTCTACCACTTCGGATACCTTCCCTAAACTCTCTCTCCAACAAAGCTTCAGTTCAATTTTGTGTTCCATCTTCCATCATCCACCATGACACCACTATCAAGTTCCATCATCTACCACTTTTCCAGAACAACCATCTAGATCATTGTCACCAAGTGAAGGAAGGTAACCATTTAGGCAGTCGGCTGACTCCTTAGCTAAATAGGGGGTGGGAAGATCTCATTTGTTTTGGGCTATTCTGTAATATTTTTTTTTTGGGTTTGAAAGGGAATGTTAAGACATTTTATCCCTTCTTTCTGGTTGTATCTTACATATCTCTTTTAATAAAAGTGCTGTTATTGATCAAAAAAAATAGGAAGGTAACGATTTGAGGTGGTTGGAATATCATGAGAATAGGGCTTTCTTGTTTCTCAAACCATAGATCTGAGATCAGGTTTTCCAATTCTTCTCAAGCCACATATCTGAAATCTGGGTCACAGTGTTCAGGCCATGGTTCAAAGTATCGATACTCTCAATATGCACAATTTTGCATATCAAGAGTTTCAATGAACCAAAAGTATATACTTTCATATTTTTTCTGATGAGTTGATAGGGGGACCCATCACATCACTTATTATCAACTAAAAACTCAAGACCTCCTTTGCCTCTTTATCTAGCATATTGACCAGCAAAAGATACGATAAAATATGCCCAATACGGGGCATATTGTATTGATATTTTGAACCTCTGTTCAGACTTCAGATATACCATTTCCATCTTTTTATTTCTTCATTTTTCAATGATGGTACAAGATCAGATGACCATTTTGGTTCAGTTGTTCAAAACCAGAAAACATTCTATTCACAGATTCAAATCAGATTCGAATTGGATATCCGAGAATATTATTAACCATTTGAAATCAAATCTCATCCTAAAAGATCTGTCATCAATTCAAATTGGATATACACCAATCCAAATTCTATTTGATACACTTGTAGCCCTGCATGCGAACCTGACCAATTGACATCCCTAGCTGAATTTTTGTTCCAGTGTTGCATAAACTCAAATAAATAAACGACATCTCCATGTTGGACATTCATCAAAGTCCAACTTTTGCTTTCTACTGCATAGCTTGTTCAACATATAATAACAGCTTATGTACAAGATGAATGCCATATTTCATAACAAATGTTATTCAGTAACAAAGACAACATTGTTTCCAGGTATATAACATTGGAATTCAAAAATAAGAACTATTTTAATAGCATAACTTTTTGTAGACGTGTCTATGAGTCCACACTTTCTCATCTTGTCAAATCAAACTCTTGGACGTGTCTGATTCCAACTCCTGTGTCCATGTCTATGCAACACTGCTTTACACCAATCCATCCAATCCCAAACCTCCTTCTTTGCTCATATAATCCAACTCCCAATCGATGAGGTATATCTTCTTGGAATCCACTGGTTCCCATAAGAAATCGTTCATAATCCTCTGCAACCTTTGGTTACTAAGGAAGGGATCCTAAAGACAAACAGGTAGTATACAAGGAGATAACCACAGTAGAGAGATAATTCATTTTCTACCCCTTAGAGAGAGATAATTCATTTCCTAAGTTGCTAGTTGTTTGCTAATAGCATTATCTCAATTGATGAACCTAATGAAGGATTAATGCAAAATTAGGTTTACGTGCAAATACAAATACCTTAGAAACCAGAGGTTTTAAAATAAGGACTTAAACAGAATATATGCTATGTAAACTTAATAATAATAATAATAATAATAGGAGTGCAAATCAGGGCTCACTTAGGATAAGAAACCAAGAGATAACTCAATACAACATTTTCCAGTACCTACATTCGATAATTCAAAACAAGGGAGAAACTAAAGAGGATGACAACCATAGAATTAAAGTGGGATGGGCAATGGAGGGGCGCATCCGGAGTCTTATATGATAGGCAAATACCACTTAGATTAAAAGGAAATTTCTGTAAAACAATTGTAAATCCAGCAATGCTGTATGGAAGCAGAGTGTTGGACAGTCAAAATACAGCATGTCCAAAAAAAGAGTTTTGGCATAATAGATATGCTGAGATGGATGAATTGAAAAACTAGAAAGGATAGGATCAGAAATGAAGTCATTTGAAGCAACTTAGAAATATCTTCAATAGGTATTAAAACAAAAGAAAGTAGACTAAGATGGTTAGGTCATGAAATCATATGCATAGAAAGACCACCTACAGCAACCATAAGAAGAAGCAATCTATTACATGATGAAGGGACTAGAAAGGCTAGGGCTGGACCAAAAAGGACATGGGAGTGGTAAGAAATGATTTAAGAGCTCATAATTAAACAATGGATATGACACTAAACAGAACAAAATGGAAAAATAGGATTCGCGTAGCCAATACCATATAGTGGGGATAAAGCTGCAAATAGTTGGGATGGTGATTTTGATGTATCTACCATAGGGTTCCAAAAATTGCCAACTCGTGGGTTTTCTCCTAATGGAAGACTAAGGTATCAGTATCTTGTTGGCAACAGAAACAAAAAAAACAGCCCAAAGTCTCAGCACATCTCCCCTCCAAAATTATCCTCCAAGAGAATACCATCAAATGCAGTTTATCCAAAGTTGATTTTTTAGTTAGAAATCCTTTCAAAACACCCAATTAGGAGATTGAGGGTTTCCTACTCCTTGATCTCTTCTATCCCCACAAAACGAAATCAGAAATTGTAAATGGGATACTATCACTTTGTTCCTACTGTTAGACAGTGTATGCCCTTAGCTCCAATCAGAATGATATACATTATGACATTTAATGTAAATGAATAAAGTACATATTTGACTCGTGTTATTATGGTGTGTTTCTATGTAATACCCTTAAACTGGACACATATGAAACTCGTGTTAGTTTAGAATCTTCACAGCCGTTGGATAGATCTGAGGAGATTTGTCCTGCCAAGGCTGACACTGATGTGCCACAAAATTGGTTGGGGTGGCTTGTCTCAACTGGTAGGGTGAGACCTGACGTACATGCAGTGTGGGTTTTCTTGAAACCCTGAACCGGACCAGAATTCCAATATTGCCCTGGACCTAGGAGATAGATGGGCAAAACTAGAATGTTACACCTGACCCCTAGACTCGATTATGATACTGCACTAGGTGTCGGACTGAGCTGTCTTTGATATGCCAATCAGTGAGATCCTTAGAGGGGGTCAAAACTTGGGTATGTTGGGACAGTCCGAGAATTCATCTGAGTGGGTGATCATAATGACAGGATAGCCCCTTTGCCGGACAAAGTGAATGATCGGGGATGCACTCTCTCTGATGGAAACCAAAACTATCGGCAGTCGATTTCAACTGTTGAAATTTGTTTTTGCAAAATATATTTATATATATATATATTATGGTTTCAAAATGTTTGCAAAAGGTTTTAATTTTCGGGATCCATGTGAGTAGAGAGTGCAACACTGTACCTTGCAGCCAAGGGAGAGGTCCTCTCTTGTCGGGCAGTGTTTGATCATTATGGGCTGAGAGGTTAAGTGTAAGACCATTGAGGGTAATACCTAATGGGCTAATCTTGCATCTACCCACAGTCCTTGGGTTTTTATAAGGTGGCTTGACCCAAGGACCATTTAGTGTAAATGTTGGGCCCATTAAGAGCCCATGGTGATGAACTAAGGGGTTCATTGTCTCCTATAGTGAATTCGGCCAGGCCTTGTAACAGAGGCTAGGTTGAACCCATGTGGCTGATGTGTAGATCAATGTTTGTGTCCCATGCCATACAAGGATATCCAACTGGGCAGAAGTTTGGAGAATAAGTGAGCACATGGACTTAATGGGCCTAAAGCCCAATTCGAACTGGCTTAATTAGATTAATTAAAGAGGGGCGGTTCTAGGATTTAGATCAACAGATATGATAAGGGATTATCCCTATCCACTCAGAGAGTCCAGATCCAAATATTTATTTGAATCAGGAAACTCCTAATTAGATTAGCAGGGCTGATCTTTATCTGCAGATAAGATAAGGGATTATCCTTATCTCTTAAAGAGAGTCCAGATCCAAATACAAGATTTGGATTAGGAAACTCCTAATGGGATTAGGAGATGCTCTCTTTAAGGCTATAAATAGAGAAGCAGTGCGAACCTCCAGATCATCCTTCAGTTTTACTGATTCAAGAGAGAAGACAACATACAGTTGGACTGACGCCATCTTTTGCTCTTGCCTTCTCTTGCTATTGCCGCCATTACCAGTTCGATCTCCACCTGTAGGAGCGATCAAGAAGAGTTCTTGATATTATCTTTTGGGAGAAAAGATAATCAAAAATCGTGCTCACATGCCCTCCATCGAGTTCTAGCTGAAGAACCATCCTGTTGATTCTGCTCCACCCTACGATGTGTCATCTTCAGTGGGAGCAATTTTTGGTATTCTCCTTGGGCGTGAACACATTTGTTGGGGGTTACTACTACTTCGTATCAGATATATCCCTCTTCTACCTTTTGGTTTCAAATCTGGTCTGGTTTAGGTTCAAGATTGATCCTTGAAAATGTAGTTTTCTAAAATAGGGAATGATTCCCACATGGGAGAGAGAGAGAGAAATTTTTGAAATTTCGCCCAACCTACCTGTAAGGTTCGGCCATCCATATGATGGATCTCTCATCCCTTCACCTACATGTCTTCCACAAGTCCTGAAGACCTAAAAAATCCATAATTGTTGGCCCTAGAAATGAGGCAACTAAGCAAATATGCTTTAAGAGTGGAAAGAAAGGGGGATAAGGGCTCACCTTGTTTAATTCCTCTTTTGGAAAGGAAAAAATCATTTACTTTTCCATTGGCTAAATGGCTAAAACTGAGAATAGTGACACGATCGGATACGACCCATTGTCCATAGTTTCCAATATCTCTCCAAGCACATTTTGTCAAATCCATCAAACAAATGAATAAACATGATCCAAAACCCTCCAAAAGATAATTCAAACAATCGGGTACAAAAATAAACTGATAAACAGGCAAGATACAAGCTATCCTGGAAAAGAAGGTCCAAGGCTGCATAACTAGAACAAATTAAAAGGACAAATGGTGGAACATTGTAGACGTAAGCAGAAAACCATGATATCAGTAATGTTTATCCTTGCAACTGAAAAACAAATCAAGACTCTAGAACAAAACAGATCTTGTGACATGGCAAAAAAGATATAATTATCAGTTTTTGAACAGGATTGATGTTCTTTCTATAGAACATCACTCTACTCTATCAATCCTCCAAATAAAAGCATTCAAAACACTGCCCCACACTGTGCCTGTTTATATACTCCATTATATTTCATCATGTTCCTTGCAAAGAGAAACATTTTCGGTGGCCATTTAATTGTTATATCTACACTGCTGGTATAATTAGTTTAAATGAATGGTAGATGTGAAACTTCTATAAATAGCCATTATTTTCAGCTTTTATTTCCATCATTAAATCAAGAATCCTATGAGAAAGCATAAATAATGTTTGTAAATCAGTGCCACATCAAAAATACTTAAACCATGGTCAAGCTGCAGATTAACTCCTAATCTGAGGAACTTACTCAGAAACCATGATTTATGGAACACTTCCAAGATTTTTTGGGACAGGCACCAGCTGGCATGACACTCATGCCAAGATGTGTTGAGCATAAAATCTGACACATGCTGACATTTCCACACTTTCATTTATATTTCTAATTTCTAAATTGTACATAAAGGCATGTCATTGTCATAGACAGCTTTTGTTGTGACCCACTGCATTTGTTCTTTTCTTACATTTGGTAAATTATTAAGTGCACAAGCATTACATATATACAAGACCACTTACATATATGTCTACAAATATGCATATCTATAGACATGCCCACATTTCTAGAATTTGGGTACTTGCAATGTCTGACTCCTGGTTGATATGTGGCATTCTGTATTCAGAGATCATAGCTTGCAATGAATCGGATAAGAACATGTGCATACAAAAAAATTTTATTCTAGGTGTATAATGATAGAAACTTGTGCTCAAAAAAAAATATTAAGTCCTAGTGACAGAAGTCTAAAAGATGCCTTCAGGCCAGCCAAATATCAATTACATGATAAAATAACCATCAACACTCTTTACTGCTCTATATCCTTTCTTTGCCCATTTGTATTATAATGCAGGTGAAAAATATTATGGAGTTGCAGGGAAGATCTCACAGTATAAAAACCTGTCTATCTATAACACTCTAACTGAGATTTTGCATCCATTAAGTTTAAAAAGTAATTGTCAGTCTCAAATTGACCCTTTAATGTTCTCAATGACTCTTACCATTTCTCCCCTACTCCTAAAGGTTGTGTCAGCAAATAACCAACAAACAACAATAACAAATTGCAGGGAGACGATTTAATTTTGAACAATGAACATTTTTCCAATGGCCAATTTACTATATATTACCTTCCTGATGTTCAAAAGCATGACTATGAGGCTGATAGGAATCCATGCTCTGGAAATAGGATGCACCACCAGAGTTGTCCTCCTGCAAACGCATACTAGATGCAGAAGTAGATTCAATACCTTCATTGCTAAGATTTTCAACAGTAGCATCTCGTCCTGATATTTGGGCTTCGTCTGGTTTTGCACTCGGATGTAAACTAGCTCTATCATCATGCAGGTCAGACTGATCAGCATATGGCCCAGAGTCAGCAGTTGGTTCTAAAACATAGGATCCACTAGGAGATGATGGCTTGTCAACCAAGAACCATTCATTGTCAGAAGCCTGCTGGCTTGTAGCAACACCTAGCTCTTGAGATGAATGCAAATCATTAAATTCTGATGACAAAGGACCAGAAATTGGTGGATGTTTCATGGTATGGTGAGATATGTTTGGTAAAACTGCATTATGTTGCGCATAAGAAACCTCTTTTGACACAACCGGGGTACTGGTTGAAACTTTGTTCTGCGGTCTACCCATCCTCACAATGTCAGCCAATGAAACTTGGCCTGGGACCCCTAACCAGGCAGGCTGATGTCCTGGAGAAGGTTGCAGAGCTGAAGAAATACCATCGCATGTGCTTGTTGACTGTATCTTGCTTTCAGCACTGACTGAACTGTTGGCAACAGATATCAAGAAGGCATGTAAGTACTGAGCAAACTGATGTTTGACCAACTACAGCATCAAACAATACTAAATCATCATCATTACCATCATCTAACCCTCGTCCCAACTACATGAATCCTGTTCTGCCATTTTGTTCTATTCAGAAAGAAAATACTAAATCAAATCCTATAATGCATGCCACTGCAAGATAGGTAATAGTTACAAGTCAACAAGTACCATATCCTAGCACTTCCAAGTATTGAAGTAACTGAGTGGTTAACAAAAACATAAATGTGCAAACATATGCGTTCATGGTTTGATTTGAAATCTTTATCATTCTTGCTCACGAAGTAAACTCTAAGCAGGTGACAAGTAGCTGCTGAGGTGCCAAGTCCAAAGAAAATTACTTGCTTCTGAAGAACATCTTTCTTGCTTTGCAATCAAATCAAAAAATGGCCACCAGACACTTTATTGTGCAAGAGTTTTGGTATTTTAAAGCAACATTAGCTGACACCAATACATCTCCAACTACCCGGTATTGTAAAGCCTACCCATTGTTGTGCAAGAACTGAGAATCAAAAATTGTAAGCCCTACTTCCTGATTTGGTAGTGTGGGTCAAACACAACTCTGGCTGTGGAAGGCAGATTTTGGACCATATGCAGTCATCAATTGAGACAGCAAGAAAGGGAGGAGAAAAGCAGGAATTGTTTTTTTTTTTTTTTTGATGAATGAATGGTATTTTATTAAATAGAGATAGAAAGAGTACAAGCATGAAGCACCCTAAGAGGAGGCACGAGGTGTTACCTCCACTTAAAGAGGAGAAAAGCAGCAATTGTTAGACAATTCTTTTTCTGTGATAGTGTGGTGTGGGTATTGGTGATTTAGAGTTTCTGCCAGTTTGGTGATTTGGAGTTTCTGCCAGTGGTTGTCCATTTCTTAGCTTTTCCAGGATCGCAATAGAAGGTCCATTTCTTGCTTTGTAGTTAGGTTAAAAAGTTGTTCTAATTGATGTTTTTTTTTCCTTTTGATCAGCTGTTGATCCAGGGGATGTTGGTCCTTGTGCCTTTGCGCTGGTGATCTCTTCCCAATCTACTCTATATACTTAAAAACAAAACCTTACCATTGGTTTAGAGATGACTGAAGGGTTGAGAGATGACCAGACAGTGACCAGCCAGCAAGTTTGTAAGGAGAAGATGAGAGATCGTGTTAGCAAGACAGGAGGAAGAGTCTGCCAGAGAAACAGTTCTGGGGGGAGGATCAGGATCATAGGAAATCGTGGAACCATTCAGAACAACGGTGGCTAGGAAGAAGACAGGAAGGCAGTCAAGGGATTGGGAGGAAGCCGGAAAGGCAGTTTGGAAGGAATGGCCGAATGGAGGAAGCTGTACTTTGAAGGCTAATCTCAATCATTTCTTTCTGGAAGTTGAAGAGAAAGGGGAAGGGGAAAGAAGTGATTTTCTTCAAGCTTGTCTGGTTGGCTGGTTTGATAGACAGGACCTCGAGCCTTCACGGGTTCAAAGCTGGGCAAACAGGGTATGGAATACATCAGTAGGGGTAGAGGTAAGAAGGTGGAACAATTCGCAGTGGCTCTTCCGTTTCTCATCAAAGGAAGAGGCGAAGAAAATTTTGAATACTGGTAAGAGATGTTTAGAAGGAGCTCTTTTGCAGAAACAACGGTTCAAAATTTGAACTTCAGGCTAATAAGAAACAACTGGGGGTTAAAAGGTTTAATTGGTTCTTCTAGGAAAATGGCTCTGGAAATTTAGCTCAAATCCTAATGAGTTGTGGAGGGACGTGATAGCAGAGAAATATGGCTTGAGTAATGGCTGGGATGCAATGCTTGTCCTTTGGCTGTGGTGTGTGGAGGGGAATTTGTAAAGCATTTCCTGTCTTCTCAAAAGGGACAAAGCTTCTCTTAGGTAATGGAGCTACAATAAGATTTTGGCTTGAACCGTGGTGTGATGAGTTGGCGTTGAAAGACAAATTCCCTGATTTGTTTGTCTAGGCTGGGAACAAAGAGATTAGAGTGGCCGAATGCTATCAGGCAGATGATTCTTTGGGTGCTTGGAATCTGGATTTTGGAAGAAATCAGTTTGATTGGGAGGTTCATTCAGTTGCATAACTGCTATCTCTTTTGAGCAATCATCAAGTAAAGGCACTTGATCAAGACTGAAGACTAAAGGCAGTGGAGGTGGAGCAAATCAGGGGGAGTTCTCAGTCAGTTCGTTTTATTATAGTTTGGTGAATGAGCAGGTTTGCACATTTCCTTTCAAAGAAATCTGGGAAATGCTGCTCCCTCAAAGGTGAAATTTTTTGCTTGGGTGGTGGCCTGGGAAAAATGCTTAACCAAGGATCTGCTGGTCAGAAAAGGAGTTAATCTAGCAAACTTGGACTGCTCCCTTTATCAAGCCCATAGGGAAACGGTGGATCATCTATTCTATATACTTAAAACATAGGTGTCCAGATCAGCTTATTCTCCCTCCTCCTCATATTGCTTCCCAACCCCCCTTAGAATTATATGGTTTTTGAATTTGAAAAAAAAAAATCAAGCCTGGGGCTATTTAAGTTCATCCACAACCAATTCAGTTTCCATTTTATTAGGAAACTGAATCTAATCATTCCCCTATAAAACATGGGCATTTTTTAACACCAGACCATGCATCGCATTGGTCTCTTCTAGTATAATATATATTACATGATACGTCACCAAAAAAAAGTAACACAAGTACCCTAATGTTTGTTAGATAACAAGGCCAAAGGTACCGAGTCACTTCATGACAATTAATCAAATAGTTCCTAATGCATAAGATTTTTCAACACCAAAATGGCATTCTATCTCATAAAATTTTTCAACACCACATGGAAGCCATATTACTAGAAGCTTTGATCGGCAAACCTGAGAGATGTAGGCCGCCTACTAGTAGAATTTCCAGCCATACCAGAGGCAGAAGACGAACTTGGAAAAGCATTAGCCTCATTTTCTTTCTTGTATGCAGGTTTACCGCGCAAACTTCCAGGCTCTGACAGAAGGATTAAGCCAAGGACTGGTAAGTAAGAATATCTATTACCAAAAGTGTTCATTAATTTCACTACTGGATGCCTGTCCGATGATTTTACATGCACATACCAGCAGAGCTGAACTGAGTTGGGCCACCACGTCCAACATTACGGTCAGTACCTCCCTTACCTCCACGATTTGAAGTACTACCAAGACCTCGAGATCTGGATTCAGTTGTCTCCTTGCTCTGAATAGAGAAGGAAAAATAAATAAGTACTTTTTGAAAGCCACCTAACTTTCATTGAGTTTACAGTAACTGAAAGTCTCTGTTCATGTCTCAATAAGAAAAATAGTGCAACTCAAAAAAAAAGAGAACATGCTTGATTATATCTTCAGTTTCTAAAACCATTGAGTAATTTTCAGTAGGAAAATGCCAATGATGATGATGATAAGAAGTCAGATTTGTAACATAGCAAAAGATTTTAAAAACAAGCAATCACATTCTAAAGAGAAAGTAGTGAGCAGCAACAGTTAAGATACGTAATCGTCTAAATTTCAGGTATTATATCATACAAATGACCCAGACATTTTCAACAAGGACGCACCTCTTTTTTCTTTTCTCGCCTGCTCTTCACCTCATGAAAAGGATCTAAACAATGGACAAATATCAAATCAGGATAAACTTCGGAAGCATTATTAGTGCTGAAAATCTTCATGCATCATCCACAAATTAGGAAATCATTTCTGTTGGTGCGAAATACCAGTTTAAAGTGGCAAAAATATATGGAGGGGAATGTAGATGCACAGAACAAATAAGTAAACGGAAACTGTTAAAACAATCTGAATCTAGAACCAGAAACTCTTATACAGAAAATTAATTTGTTTTTTATGAATACAGAAAATTAATTTGTCCTTAACCAGCATCCAGTCATTGCAATTGTTACATTGAGTGAAACTGTAATGCACTTTTAATGGTTAATGAATAATTGAACTAGGAAAACAATAATTGAGCAGGTAATAGGATTAAAGGTAAAGAGATCCAAAACGGAAGAACAATGAAGATTTCTCTGCTCAATCTTTATTCACCTTTATAGGACCATAAGGGCATCTTTCTCTATGTCAATCTTTTCCTTCAAAGTTCAGTATTGACTAAAATCCTCAGATTGGTGCATTTGATTAAACTGTGGAAAGCTAATTAAGATATGTATTTTTTTCAACTGAAACAAAAGAACGCAAACCATGTAATTAACCATTGCAGAATTTCATGGAGGTTGTTGGGCAAGTTTCTTCACCTATGTGATGTGCTTTCTACAGGTTCCTGGATGGAGTTAGTAGTTGCAAACTGTAGAACCTTAGTGCCAAATGCAGAATATTGTCAACAATGGTACATTTTGCACCCAGTTGGAGCCTTTGGAAGGAGAACCACCATTTGGTATTCCAGTAAAAGTATCGCCTATTTATACTAATACTATATCATTAACAGTAAATAAACGTATTCATTGTGAAAGTGTTGAAATGTGTGCCAATAAGGGGCATTTTGTCTTTTGAATAAGGTTTTGTAGGACTCCTATTAAGAATCACTGGACAGGGGTATTTATGTAATTTGTGCATCGATTACACGAGACTTAAAAGTTCAGGTCAACAAAGAAGACTGGTTCGAATCTTCTTCCTTTGTTTATTCTTTTCTCACTTTTCCTCTTCTCTATTCTTCTCTCCTCTTTCTCTAGTGTTACCAAATCTTTTTCCCAGCATTTTTCTTCTCTTTTTACACTTTATTCTCGAGTTTCTAGATGGCATCAGATCTGTGAACTTGACGACTGTCACTGTTCACACCCCAGTTTTGCACCCTAGGAGTAGTTCACTCCATTTGTTCACTACAAACAGAAAAAGGAACTTAAAAGGACTGGCCACCCCTTGCTGAAGCCCTAGCCATGAAAACAGGAATGTGTATTTTGGTGTGGCATCTCTATAACAAGTTGTGGTCCATGATTTTGTGTGTTGTGGTGTGGGAATATCCCTCTTATGGTGTATGTGATATTTGGGACTCTACAAGAGATTGTGTGACCCGATATTCAATTTTTAGCGCTGGAAGTTATTGTAGCAAGTTGATCTATTCATCTTTTTTGGGCTTAAAGTTTCTTTAGAGAGTTGGTTATCTTGTGTTTGGTGTTCGTAGCAGTTTCCCTTGCTGGTTGGTACCTTATTTTACCTACGGATGCTTCCAATAGTAGTGCCAAGCGGCCCAAACCTGCTCTAGTAGTACAATACTACAATCAGACCATATGAACACTCAGTTAACTACTGCTACGCTCAATGCTACAAATTATGTGCCATGGACTAGATCTATGGAATTCTCCTTAATTGAAAGAGACAAATTAAAATATATTAAGGAAGACCAACCTAAATGTGAACCTGAAGGGTACAAGAAAATGCACAGATTATGACCTCGTTATGGAACAGTATGGAAAACAAGTCTCGTGTTTTTAGACAATGCTAAGGAAATTTGGGAGCATGCCAGGCAGTTGTGTTCAAGGCAAGATAATGTGACAAGGATCTACCAACTATATCAGGACTATTTTTCTCTTCAACAAGGTGAGAGCATAAGAATATTATGCTACCTTGAAAAGTCTAATGAGTGACTTGAATGTCTACCGACCTCTCTCTACTGATTTGAAGATACAATAAACATAGAGAGAACATTTGGATGTTGCTAGATTCCTGTTAAGGTTGAGGTTTGAGTTTAAGCCTGTGAGAGCCCAGATTTTGGGAAGGTAGTTATCTTCCTTCCCTTTTTAAAGTGTTTTCTTGTATCCAGAAGGCATCCCAACCCCAGATTGATAGTTCTGTTGTTTTGAGAGGTCTACTTTAGTAGTGACCAAGGGTGATAGTGGTGGTCAACGTGTTAGGGGAAGAAGTGTAGATATTAGGGGTGGTTGTGATGGTAGTGGGGAAGGAAGAGGTGGGGGCAGAAATAGTGGTAGTTGTGGAACTGTCAAAGAGTGTTCTCATTGTGTCTAATTGGCTATAAGGGTCACAGAATTGCCTTTTGTTATGACTTGCACGGTCTATCGTCTTCCTAGGCTAATCATGTCGTAGTTGAAGTTGACATTGGTATTAATAATTCTACCAATGAGATGCCTGCTATGGGAATTGGTATTAATGATTCTACATTGATATTAATGACTCCAGATTTTTTCTTCATCTTCCAAGATCATTGTTACCCTTGCTCGGTAAAGTACAGCTTGTTTAGTTTCCAGTTCTAAATATTCACCATGGGTAATTGATTCTGGACCTTTAGATCATATAACTGGTCTTCAGACCTATTTGTGCTTTTTGTCTCCACCCTCCACTACAAAGCCTATTTACTTTAGCAAATGGAACCTCATCTGCTATTACTAGTACTAGTAATGTTTCCCTTGATTCTAATATTAGTCTCAACTCTGGTTTTTATGTTCCCAAGTTTCCCTTTAGTCTCTTGTCTGTAAGTAAACTCACTAAATTGCTTAGTCACTTTTTTCTCTTTCTATTGTGTTCTTCAAGATCTTACGACGGGGAAGATGATTGGTGGAAATCATGAAGTTGGAGGACTATACCACTTGGATTGCGATGGTCCACCAAGAGCTTTTCACTCATCTTTTACTCCTCACCAGTGGCATTGTCATTTGGGTCACCCTTCACTTCATTTTTTTAAGAACTTAGTTCTTAGTTTAGAGTTGATGTCATAGTTCAATTGTGAATCACGTCATTCCAGTAAGCATTTTAGAATCACTTTTGTTCTTAAAGAAGATAACAAGGCCATGAGTCCTTTCGAACTTGTTCACTTAAATGTTTGGGGTCCAAGTTGTGTTTCATCTTATAATGGATTTCAATATTTTGTAACTTTAATTGATGACCATTCACGAATTACATGGATATATTTAATGAAAAAACACTCAAAATACTTTTCTATTTTTCTCTCTTTCCATGCTAAAGTTCAAAATCAGTTTGGTATATGTATTGAAGTCTTTCATTCTGATTATGCAAAGGAATATTTGCATAGTTCCTTTCAAACTTACTTTGACACCCATGGCATCATAAATCAGTCTTCATGTTCGCACACTCTACTGGAGCGATGCGATTCTCACTTCATGCTTTTTAATAAATCGCATGCCACCATCTATGATCTATCATTGTTGGTGATCCTTCGTTTTCTACCATGTTTCCTTTAGGATCACTCTTCCCTCTTCCTCCTTATGTCTTCAGATGTGTTTGTTTTGTCCATCAGCTAAGCCCTGGACATGATAAAGTTGATTCCTGAGCAATATGATGTGTCTTTCTTGTCTACTCATGCACTTAAAAAGGGTATAAATGATATGAACCTATCCTCAATAAGTCTTTTGTTGTTCCCAAAAAGTATACAATTACCCTAAGAGGAGGCACGAGATGCTCTTGATGTCACATTCTTTGAGAGTCTTCCTTATTTCATTGGACAGGAACCCTTTCCTTATGTTTCAACATCAACTCCAACTCTATCTTCTACCCTTCCACCAACATCTAAATCAACGATCGATCCTCCTCAATATCTTCCCATTGCACTACGTAAGGGAAAGCATACTTGTACGGATCACCCCATTTCTTATAATTGTGCTCTTGTCCATTTACCTCCTTCCCAACAAAAATTTGTCTCTTCTATCTTCTATTTCCATTCCTAGGACTTTTCAAGAAGCCTTTGCCTCATTTGACTAGAGGAAGACAATGGACGAAGAATTCCAAGCTCTCCAGTCCAACCATACATGGGACCTTACCTCCTTACCTCCTAGGAAGCAAGCAGTTGGATGTTGGTGGGTGTATAGCATCAAGCATAGACAACATGGTAGCATTGAGCATCTTAAAGCATGACTAGTAATCAAATGGTATAGCAAATTCCGCAGCTACCAGCCTACCACCATTGGAACCAATGAAGCAAATGATTGACCCATCATACCATCCGAAGAAACAGAAAATACCAAAAAAAGTTCGAATTCACAGCTAATAGCATTGATTCAATTGGCATTGACAATAGGAATATTTTGTCTATTAAGGAGGATTCCCCGAATACCTAAAATAGAGATGATCATAGAAAATGTGAAATATTTGATAGGATCCGTTTTGAGAACGTGGAATGTACAAAAACTTATGAGGTTGATTACTCTAAGACCTCATTAATGGATAAATTGTCCTTTGTACAAGTTGTCATTTCTCTACCTATTCATTTTGATTGGCCCTTGTACCACCAACTTGATGTCAAGAATGCCCTTCTTAGTGGTAACCTTCAGGAGGAGGTCTTCATTCCTTTCTTAACTTTTTGTACAGCTTCTCATTGTACAAAGGGCCTTTTGTTTTAATATAATTATACTTTACCTTTTCTCAAAAAAAAGTCTACATGGAACAACCTTCGAGGGAGGTTGGAATGTAGGTTGTGGAAGGCTATTTATGGGTTAAAGTAATAACCACAAGCATGGTTTGGCAAGTTCAATAGTGTAGTACAAGAATTGGTCCCAAACAGTGTGGAGCTGATCACTCAATTTTCTATAGAGACACCACATCTAGGCAGATCATTTTTGGCAATGTATGTTGATGACATAGTTATTATTGCTAGTAATGTCAGTAGGATTAAGGATCTAAAACAGT